ACCTGATGATACAATGACTAAATCTGGTCTGAATTCACGACCTAGGGGCATCACTACATGTTCAAATGCCCACATATATTCAGCATCACCGACCCCGCCAACTGGCCAAGTAATATTACAATTGAAACCTTCACCTTTACCTTCACCAACTTGATCATAGCGACCATGGATTGTACCTGGGTAAAAAGCGGTAGATTCATATCTATGCAAAGAGATATATAAGACGTTTTCATCTTCATAAAAGGCCTTTTGAGTACCGTTACCATGATGAATATCCCAATCTAAAATTAAAATTTTTCTTACACTTTCAGGATATGTTCTTAATATGCTTCTTGCTGCTACACTTACATTGCTAAATAAACAAAATCCACCAGCTGCTTGTGGTTCAGCATGATGGCCTGGTGGTCTTACAATTGCTAATGAATTTTTAACTCTTCCCTCTACAACAGCTCTACAAGCCTCTATAACTCCACCACAGGATAGCTTTGCACTATAATATGAATCATTGTTGTAATAAACTGAATCAGCTTTCTCTGTAAGTTTAATCAATTCTTCACGAGATTGGGATTCAATATTTTCAATAAAATCTAAATGTTCTCTTGTATGAACAGCCAAAATTTCTTCTTCAGTGGCCGTTCTAACTGGAATCTTCAACATAATATCACCAATATCATCCAATCCACTTAAATTTTCATCTTTAATCAAACCATTTTCAGCTAAAATTTTATATATTCTATAAACTCTTCTTGGATCTTCAGGATGTGGGTCAATATATTCAAAATTTGAAGTAAAAATTTTAGCATGATATCTCATTCTTACATCATAACACAAACCAGTTTTTAATGGAGTGTAATGTAATTTTGGCTGACGAATAGGTACAATGACTTGTCTTTTTGGCATTTTTTTAAAATGATCATTTTTAGAATTACCATTCATGATAGTTTCTTTACCACCATTAACTCCAGTCGCCATTTCTGGTTTGACATCTTCAGTAACTGTATCATGAAGTATACGTTTCAAACTGTGAGCACCTCCATTAAAACTCATCCTAAAAATAATATCAATGGTAGTAATCCATAAACTTAGATCTGATCACTAAAATAGATATAGATTTATACTAATTTATGGTCCCTTTTTAATTCCTATTTAATATTATGAATTTTTAATATTAAACGGTTCACACAGTTGTAGAAATTATTCAAATTCTGTAAATCACCTAAATTACAATATTTAAATATCTTTGTACAAATCCAAGTTAAACAAATCCGTTTATTCAATCAAGAAGTAGTGAAAGTTTCTTCTAAGATCTCTATTTCTCTTTTTATTTCAGTTCGAATTCGAAATTGTATTGGATTTCGTCTTTTTTCCTAATCTGTTGATGTAAAAATTAACATGATACAAGCGATGAGATGAGATCAGAAGAGATGAGGAATGAAACTTTTCATCTTTAAAAAGAAGAAGATCATATCAAAGTAAAGTTGTTGTTATTGTGATTTTGAAGTTAAATTGTTTTGGATGGTAGTGTCAAAGCAAGTGGGTTAACTTTTGATTTGTAGTTATTATTAGTATGGATTTCTATAGAGACTCTACCTGGGTACTCGAGTATCTAGAAAAGGAAAATGCTAAGGATAAGATTTCTGGTTCATTACAAGGTTTGGTTTTGAAAAGCTGTAAGAAATATAAAGTTAAATCCAATCCAAGACATGTATACGCTGCTGTTTCTTCATGTTGGAAAGTTAAGCCTTATTTGGAGAAGGTTATGAAACGTTCAGGGATATTAGATGATATCCCAAATAAGAAAGGTAAACCACAATTTGAAAGATTGACTTTACTTTTATTGTGCCATGATTTACTTTTATCGAAGAGTAAAAGAATTCAAATGGGTAAACATCCTATTAAGACTTACATTTTGAAATATAAGACCAGATTACATAGTGAATTAGTCAAATTAAAATTGAAATTAAAGGTTAGAGATTTATCTGAATTAATTGAAGATGAAAACTCTAATGATGATATAACTCCTGTAAGATGGATACGTATTAATCCAATTAGAGCTCAATATGATAAAGGTTTAGAACCCATTATGAATGAATTAAATAAAAAATTTCCTACTAGAGTCAACCATTGGTCTGATATTGTTCCAGGTACAATTTATCATGATGATTATATTCCAAATTTATTTGGTGTTCATACAAAGGATAAAATTACATCCCATGAACTATATAAAACTGGTAAAGTTATTATTCAAGATAGAGCTTCATGCTTCCCTGCTCATATTTTAAATCCTGGAAAGAATGATATTGTAATCGATGCGTGTGCAGCTCCTGGTAACAAAACTACTCATACGGCTTCATATATTCTTGGTGGTCCTAAGAAAGATCAAACTACTCAAATTTATGCATTTGAGAAAGATCCTGAAAGAGCTAAAATTTTACAACATATGATTAAGGTTGCTGGTTGTTCGAATACTATTCAAGTCAATGTAGGTGATTTTACCAAAATTGCTACTCCAGAAAAGTTTCGCAATGTAACAGGTTTTATTGTAGACCCAAGTTGTTCCGGTAGTGGTATTTTTGGACGTAAATATGTGGATTCAATTAATAAGAAGAAACAAGAGTCCAGTGGTGACAATGGTAACCAGGATGATGAAGATGCGGTGCCTGATGAACAAGAAGAAGAATTTGATTTGAAAAGGGACGATTTAAAGACACGGTTATCCAAGTTGGCCTCATTCCAATTTCAAGTAGTTAAACATGCTATGTCTTTCCCAAAAGCCAAAAAGATCGTTTACAGTACATGTTCTATCCATGCAGAAGAAAATGAAGGCGTTGTCATCGATTTGCTGTTAGATAAGAAAGTCCAAGAATGGGGTTGGAAGGTCGCTCCTAGATCAGAAGTCATTCCAACTTGGCCAAGAAGAGGATTCCAAGCTGAATTTAGTAAAGTATTTAGAGATGAAGATGAAAAATGTCAAGAATTAGCAGATGGATGCATAAGAGTTTTACCAAAAGAAGATGGTGGTATTGGATTTTTTGCTGTTTGCTTCGAAAGAAATTAGTTTCTGATAGAATTGTAATTGGAATTGGCATCACAACGTTTATTTAATATAATTAAATTTTTTATAAAAAAGTTATATTAGACAATAATTAATATATTGCATTTTTATTGAAATCATAGTTTTGATAGTATATCATCTGTAACTTCAGTAGTTGAAGAATCACCACCCAAATCTGGTGTCTTGATTTTACCAGATCTAATATTTTCATCAACAGCATTTTGGATATCTTTTGCTGCTTCGTTGTAACCCAAAAATTGTAACATTAAAGCAGCTGATCTAATTGTTGCAACAGGATTAGAGATACCTTGGCCAGAAATATCAGGAGCAGAGCCATGGCATGGTTCACCGATAATAATATCTGGACCAACATTAGCACTAGGAACTACACCTAACGAACCTACTAATGCGGCTGCACCGTCTGATAAAATATCACCATACAGATTTGGGGCAACAACTACATCAAAGCACTCAGGTTCTCTGAATATCCTATAAACCATAGAGTCTACAATTTGTTCATTATAACTGACATTGCCATATAGATCCTTGTTCTTTTCATAGACATCTCTGCAGACTTCTCTAAAAAGACCATCTGATTGGGATAAGACGTTTGATTTATGGGTTACCGTTAATGTAGCTTTGCCTGTATTCTTTAAACGTTGCAAAGCAATATCTAAAGCAATCTTTGCAATTTTTCTTGTAGCTACTTCTGAAATTCTTTTAGTAGCCTCAGCTACTTTAGTACCAGTAGCTTCATCAATATAGGTTCTCTCTTCTTTAATATACAAATCTTCTGTGTTTTCCCTCACAATAACCATATCTACTGGTCTGTCATTGGTTCCAGATACTGATTTAACAGGACGAATATTAGCATATAACCCCAATTGTTTTCTCAATGCAACGATTGGTGAAGAATAACCTTCAACTTTAGTAGTTGGGGATTGAACAGCACCAAATAAAGCACCCTGACATTGTTGCTTTAAAATCGAAACCGTTTCATCTGGTAAGGCCTTACCAGTATCTAAAAATGTTTGCCAACCAGCATGGAGATCAATGAACTTAAAATCAATACTATACTTATCACCAATAGTCTCTAATACTTTTTTACCAGCAGGGATAACCTCTTTACCAATACCATCTCCAGGGATTAAACCAATAGTTAGATTGGATCTTGCACCATTAACCACTGTACGACGAGCACATGCTCTATAGACACCATTTCTTAACATTGTCAAAACTTTAATAGAATATGCAATAAATTTGTAAAATTATAATTAATGATCTTTATGAAGTTCCAATGAGATGATTTAAACTTCAATTATATCTCAGCCTTATGTGATGACTTATCTTGTATAACTAGTTATTCCTCAAGTTTAAAAAAACTAACTTAAATTAATTAATGGAAGTAATAAATTAAAAACAGAACATAAATCAAATTAATATAAATTAATTGCTTGTTTATATACTTGTTCAATACTTTAGCAATGACTCTTGCAAAAGGGTATATTCTATTACTCTTGATGGATATTTTCTTAGTCACCTTAATCAAATATTTCCGGTGGAATTAAATTACTCTGGCAATAAGAGCACTCTTGATAATGAAATTGTACCGTTTGAAACAATAACATAGTCATCAATTGAGATAAGATAAGTTGCAATGAAAACTATAATAGGTTGTGCTTTCCATTTAATTAAATAATATTTTATTTACAGATAATTTGTCTACATACAGATAAAATCTATATTTGTATGTATATATATAAGAATTTTGAATTTAAAAAAACACTTGATCGGGAGAATATTGAATGATGGTTTAGATCAGACTATGTGTATGCCAATGAGGTATGCGTCATTAAAGTAGGGTTCCCGTATTCGTAATGATACTATTAAAGTTGTAATATAAATTTTGATGCTATTAAATAATTTCTTGTAGAAATCATAATTTAATTTCTTCAACATCTTCCTCAATATCGTCGTTCTTTTTAGGATCTTTTTCATCTGTAGCCCATGATTCCGATGGGTTAATACGTCTTGCTGCCATAATTTCAGTTTGTATAATAGCTTTCCTTTTCCATGTGTCAATAACCTTTTGTTCCTTTTGAATACCATATTCAATGGCAGATGGGCCAAATACTGAACCGAACATTTCTGCTTCTTCTTGAGCTACTTGTTCCTCGATGTGCTGTTGCATTCTCAAACGATAAAACTCATATCTAGCCATGTCGTAAGCCAGAACCAAAGATGGAGCTTCTTTATTCTTCATTAGATACAAGGTTCTTTGAACGACACTTTCACCATCCAATGGTTTACCGATCTGCTGCATGTGAGACCAATCATACTTTTCATCACCATTATTTTCAATCAAAATCTTTGGTCTGGATAGTTCCCAAGGATGTTGCTTATAAAAGATTTCTCTCAATTGATCTTCTATATAAGTCAATTTTGAAGCTGAGTACAGTTGTTTACTAGCATTTGATCTGTCTTTTGCAGTGTACCTAGTTTTAAACATACCATTATTACCAGCTGATGAATCCAGACTATGCAGCTGTCCATTGATCCTATCATTAGAAGGATTGGTTAATTTAGGGACTCGTTCAAATTTTTTCAGAGGTGGAACTGAAGCAACAACGTTATACCAGGCAGGTTGTTTAGTCAATAGCCCAGCTCTCAAATACGCAGAGGTGCGTTCCAGCACATTCACAGCATTCTTCTGAATCTTCATTGTAGTTACGTAGCCACTAGTCCACTGGTTCCTGTTGTAAATAGGTACTCATCAATAACAGAATCTAGCCAGTATATATAGCATTAATTTCAACCTCTCACTCTTTTTTTATATATAGAGATATATAAAAAATCAACCAAACCAGACCAGACCGTCTGAAACTTTTCAGTTTTTCTAAAATGTTAACTATGTCACGTTTACAATGATTAATATCACGTGAGCCACACGTGATAACAAGTGTGGTTGTTATTGTTTACTGAAAAGCGGGTAACCAGTGATGGATTGAGACTGACAGTCTCAGAGAGATGAAGAAGAAGAAGACAAGTAATAGGAACACTTATAACCACCCCCACCCCATTGATGTGTATCCAATAGTTCTCTATACAAGAATTGGGTAAGACATTCTTAAAAACCAAATAATTAATCAGTACATAAGTGTTACCCTGATACAGATCACGTGTTTCACTCTATTTTTATATCGTTCTCCTTCTCCTCACGTGATCGCTCATAGTTAATTTTTACACTAAATTTCAATTCAAATCGAATCGAATCGAATTCACCAAAGAACATTTTAACGAAACAGCTCAGACTACAAATAAGTAACAGATAATAAACGTTTGATCCAAGTTGAGTTGTTATAAGTTTATTAGAGCGTATCGATCAGTGGTTATTGTGGTATTAACGTTTTTAGATAAGCCTCTGAAACTTCCAATTGTAATATTCAATTTAAGTGAATTATTCTAATTTTTATATTTTTGCTAATATAGGGTTATTTTAAGAAGATATCAACAGCAATATCAATATCACTATACCATGTCTGCTTTGTTTAATTTCACTTCGTTGTTACAAGTTATATTGCTTCTGATATGTTCCAGCACGTACATCCATTCCCAATGGCCTTCATTTTTGGATCGTTACAAAGATCAAAGTGTACTAGGTGCATTTTGGAAATTGGCTCGTATTGGTGAAAGGGCTTCACCATACGTTAGTCTAGCTTGTATCATCATGGCTGTCAACCAATTCAACAGCTGATGTGCTTTCCACAAACCACAAAATTATTGTTGTTTTAAAAAATATATAATCAACATCATTTATCGCATCTACAGAATTTTTCATCAAGTTTTATTTATTATTCTATACTTCAATATATATTAATAGTTCTATAACGTAATTTTTTTTTAATGGATAATATTATAGGATAAATCAGATATGATAGTCAAAGCTTGATGATTATGACTATGATCGTATTCTGCTAATGGATGACAATGATATTATTATTGATGAATTTCAGTTTTCTAGGTGACAGTAAATTTTCATCATCATTATCTAAATAATGAAAAAAAAACTGGGAAGACTTTAGAATAGCAAATACATAACTAGTTGCTATTTCAATTATAATCATACCAGTATCATCGCCACTAGTATCATGGTCATCTTCATCATCAAGTCTGTCATATATCTATCAATATATCTATTTAAATATACTATAAATAATAATAAGAATCACTAATAACGAGGTGGTGTTTTCTTATTGCCCAGTGTTTTTATTCATTATGACAAAAGAGAATATCTCAAATTGAGCTTCCAAGAGAAGGTTCAAAAGAATTGGTGATAACAAATATATAAAGATTGATTGTTTATTAGTTTAAAAATGGACTTGTTAATAGGTTCAGGAATAATTGGAACATATTTCCAAAGTTGGGTTATTGCTGTGGGATAGGTATTCTGCTGGAAAAGGTTAGGTTTTGCAGGTCTTTTTGGTTATATCTTTGTGGATTACTGTTTTATCAACTTCTAATATATATTATACTTTAATCCCAGTTGATTATTTTATTTTATTTTTATTTTTTATTTCTTAACGATTGGTTTAAATATTGATCTCACTTCATATTCATACTATTAAATTAATAATTATTGCCATCATATTGATTATTTAGGTTTTCTTTTTTTTAATACCTTCATTTTTTTTTTATTTTATTTTTCAATTGCAGATACATACAACATATACTTACATTATGAGAAGAGTATTGAAAAATCTGATACGAAGTGTACAAGTAGTGCTTGTCTGTTTTTACTTGTTGAATATAGTGACAACCATACCGATTTCTTTTAAGATTGGAGGATTGTACTGTGGTTTAACTTTTACCGTTACTTTATTTTATTTGTATTTTACTTCAACGACATTAAATATCATTGCAAGACGATGGGGCAGTAAACCTGCGATAATTATAACTTCATCTTTCTTTTACTTCCAAAACTTTATTATTCCATCTCTATTGCATTTATTTTTGAATGGTTTTGCTAACGAAGATTTAATAAAATCAATACGAAGTGGTATTCAGCCAAAGGAAACTTTCTTAGACTTATTGAGAGGCGACATCCCTGTATCTGTTAAAAACTGGTTACTTTTCTATTACTATTATAGTTATACAGTTAAACCATGGCAGGTAATTCTATCATACTCAACTCCTGTTTTCACGCTATTAGAAGGTTTTTTTACTATTTTAGGTATCCAGACTATAGGAGAGATGAATACTTGGCTGAAACACGAAAGAAATTCAAATATTTGGATTATTTCTTCTCTATTAACTTCTGGTGGTTTGATAACTGGCTCTCTTTACTATTTATACAGAATTTATGCAACTCCAATTTGGAATCTTTCAGTAGGTGCTGCAACTTTGCTGGGATTTACGCTTTCTTTAGTCGGTAGTTTGGGTATTTACGGTATTGTAAGCCATAATGGTTCTGTCATTGAAAGTTCTTTATTCTTTGCTTACATTGTCCGTTGTATTTATGAAATTGCACCTGAATTGGCTACAACCGCCACAGAAGAATTTCTGGAAGGTATTAAAGAGGTATGGCAAAGTCATCATGCCAATTTGAATGTAGCAGATGGTTTCATTTCATATTTTTATGATTCTTTCCATATGCAAGCTCATAAATTTTGGACTCTTTTCACTTCAAGAACTCCATACTATGGGTATTTACATAATTACTGTATGGATTATCCATCATTAGTAATGATCAGGAGTAATTTTTATCCTATATGGGAAACCTTAAAAACATTGACCTTCAGCGTACCTACTTCAATTAGTGAATTATTTCATTTGACGGTAAGAATGGCTATCGATTCTGTATCGCCAGCAATAATAATAAATTTATGTTTTAGGTTAATGATTTTCTATTCAGCAACTAGAATTATTCCTGCTATTCAAAAGAGAACAAGATCAGAAACAAGGAAAATACGAGGCATTATGAAAGCTTTATATTGGTATAGTCCTTGCATTTTGATTGCTATGTATACACATTTAATTTTGCAATATTCTGGTGAGTTGAAAAAAGATTTATGCTTATGGGGATGCGATTCAACTTGGTTTGGTGAAGATCAAGAACGTATTAATGTTGATGCATGGAGTTTTTGGAATTGGTGTAATATATTTTGGACTATAATAATATATGGTAGTGAATTAATAGGAGGCAAGAAATAGTTTAACTTTTAAATCACTTATCGATGGTTACAATAAGAAACTTCTTTTAATTTTATAATATACCCCCAATTTCCATCGAATCATACTCAACTTAAATATACCGTATTTAAATAACTGATACAATTGTGCATATAAATATACAAGATAATTTTAATTTAATTTTAATTTACTCTAAATATACAAGCATGAGAGAAAGGATGATTTAGGTAGAGAAAAGTTGAGAAGAAATGAAAAAAAATTCTAATTAGTCAGTTAATAAAATAGCAAGTCTCGTCCATGCCAAGTATTTTATGGCTCAGAGCTTGACTCTATGTTGCATTGGTATTTCATCATATTAAAAAAGATCAATTTTCTTCTTCTTTCTTTCCTTTTCCTCCCAGTATAAAATATCAAGACGATAATTCCAATCGGAAATGGTTCAACTTAACTAAGTTGGCATCACTTCCAACTGAATATGATTGTGTAGGAAAAATCATAATACGATATGCAGTCTGGTGTTTTTGACAACACTAAAGCACATGCTAAAACATAGCACTACTTCAAACTGTGTAAAGTAAAAAAATAGATGGGGGTGGATCCATGAGCTAAGAAAGTAAGCTCCATTGGGTTACCATGTAATGAAATAAATCCCATTAACAAGGCAATCGTCATAACTATCGTTTGAAATTGAAAAACCAATTTCAGTACCGAAAAAACTATTGATTTGTTACAAATCAATAGTCCAAAAAAATGAATAAATAAGAAAAGGTGACCTTTCCTCATCTATCACTTTTAATGAGTTGATTTAAAGAATTTAAAATTTTTAAATCTCATTACGTTTTCCGCATATGAACAGGTGGGAGACTTTCTACCCAAAGTTTAATTTTTAAATAAAGATATTGAGTAGCATATAAAATACCACTCCATTTGCAAACTTCGACTAGTGACGATTCTTCAGCCATGGATCATCCTCTCTACAATAGGAAGTGAAAATAAGTTAAATTAAAAATAGGAAAACTTAAATAATGTGATAAATTTTTATTTAACATTTAATGATTGTTCGACGAGTTTAAATACTTTTCCAAAATTTTATTAAATCGAATCAAAAAGAAAAATTTTTTTCTTCGATTCGGTTAAAGTTGATGTAAAAATTGACATGATTTCCATTTAGGGCAAATTCTCAAATTTTTATTTCGAAAAGTAGTGTCCGGTATTACCATGATATGCCGGACATGATTTGAATATTTTTCAATTTATTGGTCCTTAATAGTTATAGATAGGCAGTTTTTGAATTATTACCAGTATACTATGAAGGTTTAATTATAAAGAGTAACTATGATTTGAAGTTCATTCTCTCTTGATTTTAGGTTAGACCGAGTCTAATTAAGGTTTAAATTGTTGATATTAGTCAAAAGTTATCAAAAATATATAATTCTATTGTGAGATCAAGTACACTAGAAACTTACTTTAAAAATTTGACAAGTGCTTATATTTTGTACTGTTCGAGAACACTGCTGTTATATGTATATATAGAAATTTTATTATCGTTATTGTTGTTATATTAGTTGGTAGAGAATTATAATCTCGAGTGTTTTGACATGTCTGGGAGTTATTGGACTTCCACTCAGAGGCATCAATGGCAATACACTAAGGAATCATTGACTAAGGAAAGACAAAAGCTGTGGTTGATGGAATGTCAATTATTTCCACAAGGTTTGAATATTGTAATGGATTCAAAGCAAGGCTCTAATGGTTATCCTGTGACTAAAAATATCCCCATCACTCATAGAGACTTACATTATGATAAGGATTATAACTTGAGGATTTATTGCTATTTTTTAATAATGAAATTGGGGAGAAGGTTAAATATACGACAATGTGCGTTGGCTACAGCTCAAGTTTATCTTTCTAGGTTCTTAATTAAAGTTTCAGTAAGAGAAGTTAATTTATACTTATTAGTCACAACATGTGTTTATTTGGCTTGTAAAGTTGAAGAATGTCCTTTATATATAAGGTCATTAGTGAGTGAAGCAAGATCTTTGTGGCCTGAATTTGTCCCTCCTGACCCAACAAAGGTGACAGAATTTGAATTTTATTTCATTGAAGAACTGGAAAGTTATCTAATTGTACATCATCCTTATGATTCAATGGAGCAAATTATTAAAGCTTTAAAGTCTCCTCCATTTCAATTGATTCCTACTTCTGATGATATACAAACATGTTGGTCATTGATTAATGACAGTTACATAAGTGATGTACATTTGACTTATCCTCCTCATATTATTGCAATTGCATGCTTATTCATTACGTTTTGTATTAGAGGTAAACTTTCAAAAAATTCATTAGACACTACGAATTTAATTGATCCAAATGATAAAACTCAAATTATCTTCAATAAATTTATGGCCGAATCACTAGTTGATCTAGATGAAGTCATGGATACAGTTCAAGAATTAATCACTTTATATGATTATTGGGATAAATACCATGAACCTTGGATTAAATTTTTATTACATACTTTATACTTGAGGTCAGGTCAATTACAAACAGCACAATCCCCTGTTTCTTCGTCATCCGCAGCATAATAGTTCTATTGGTTAGATACCGATTGTAGTACTACATAAAATTAATGATATCATTTCTGCATTTGTATATGTGTATTTAGATATATTTACATTACCTAAGATGAATTAATGTCGATAAATATTAGATACAATGAAAAGAACATTACCGAAAAGCCAAATAATGCCAAGTAAAGGGAACATTTCTTGTAAAATTTATCACTATCACTGATCATTTGTCCAATTGCTAATGAATCAGATCCTATTAATTTGTAACCGAATATACCAGGCAAAATAAACGAAATGGAAGTACCGCCAGTAGCACCAACTATAGCTAATACATATGCAAAAGAAGTGACAGTTAAAGAAACTGAATACATCACTAATAGTAATAATAATGATATGGTATAAAATCTATGGTTAGGGAAAGGAGTTTCACACAAGACGTTATCCAACTCTTCGATTTCTGTTACTTCATTACTTAACAAGACATCGTCAACATTATCATCAGGCATTGAGCGGATATCATCATCATTAATTGTCAAACTAATTGGAGACAAATCAGATGTATTTGAACGGATATTTGGCGAAGTGTTTTCCTTGTTTGAACCATAATTAATTTGATAGAATATAACCATATTATTAACTGCGATTCTTAATGGATGGAATAATAATGGGAATGATAATACAATCATGCTTCCTAAACAAAATTTACCAATATAACACCATTTTGAATCAGGATCATAATTCAACATTATATTCCCTAGAGTATTACTACCAAATGTTAAATAACCTGAAATTCCTACTAATAGAAAAAGAAAAGTGGAAATACCTATCGATCTATTAATCACCTTGGTAATATTCCTTATAGAATTATTTTCTAGTTCATTAATTATTGAGAACAAATTCATTGCGCCAGTAAATGCGAATATAATGATACTAAAAGTTGAACATAGTCCAGTCCAATCATAAACTGAAAACCAATTAACGTCACCCCTAGTTTCAAGATAATTATCTGTCAAAAACACGTTATTGATATAAATAACTATCACCAAGATAGTCAAGTATGCCAAAGCAAATAAACCTAATATGCTTGAATATCTCAAACTATTTAAATTTTTCAATAGACATAAGGGGATGATTATAATACCTGATCCGATGATCCAATAATGACGAGGTCCGCCAAAGACAGCAGGGAATAGATCTCCAATAAGAACTAGATATGAAAGACCAACACCAAAACATTGAACGAACATGGCTAAATCACTACAGGGGCATAAAGAGGGATTAGTCATCATACATAGGGTGAAAAATGATGAATTTCTTGGATTAATCATAGTTTTTGAACATTTTGCCAGTACAAAGAGACCAAACCCTGAAGCAATTGCTGCCAATACTGTCATTAAAATGCCTACTAGTACACCATCATTTCTAAATACATATGGGATAGCCAATAAACCAGCACCGACTATAGTTTTTGTTAGATTTATAGTAGAAGAATTAACAGTTGCAGTAGTAGTCTCCATCTGCATCTTCCTACAAAGTTTAGATAACGAACGAAAATCTCACTGACACACACACAGACACTCACCTTGAATATTATTCTAAATTCCCAATGTTTTCTAATGGATTGGTAACCTACTATTCACAAATCTTGAAAAATCTCATCTCTTTTCATTTAAAATTGAGAACCTTTAAAGCTTTTTTATTTAAAAATTTTGATATCGCTCCTAAAATTTAAAAGTTTGATATATCAAGAACTTGAAAGTGCTCAAGGTGAACAGCTGTTAAAGACATAAGGTTGATACATTAGTTTACTTTAGGTACCAATTAGGATCGGTTATTGTTTATTTGCTTGGTTACAGTGTGGTATTGGTTTTATAGAAGGAAATTTGGGGTGAAAATTTAAGGATGTTGAAATGGTTAAAATTAAGAGAGATTACAATATAGTTAACATTAATGATGATAATGATGCTGGTAATAGTAATGGTGATGGTGATGGTGATGAAATTGGGGATAGATTAAATATTGGGAATAGCGGATCTTCGATGAATTTGATGAAGCAAACTGATAATAATGATGTGGTTGATCCATGTAGGGTTATTGAAGATAATGATTTATATGCTACTGATGCCAAGAAAGTGCTGAGAAAGTTTCATGATAAGATGGTTTACGACGAAGATGTTGATGATATAATGGATGATAAAGAAAGAGCAATCAAAACAGAAGAGCTGTCGAAGATGATGGGTGATAAACATGAGATGGTTCCACCTGAGAATTTTAGTCATGTTGTTGGTGAAATATATCGCAGTAGTTTCCCTCGAATTGAGAACTTCCCATATTTACAGAATCAATTAAAATTGAAATCTATATTAGTGTTGATACCAGAAGAGTATCCTCCAGAGAATCTTGAATTTCTGGAGAAATCTGGAATTCGGTTGTATCAAGTTGGAATGAGCGGTAATAAGGAGCCGTTTGTTAACATCCCATCAGATTTATTAACAAAAGCTTTAGAAATTGTAATAAATCCAGAGAATCATCCAATATTAATACATTGCAATCGAGGGAAACATCGTACTGGATGTCTGATAGGATGTATTAGAAAATTACAGAATTGGTCATTAACAATGATATTTGATGAATACCGTCGCTTTGCATTTCCAAAGGCTCGTGCCTTAGATCAACAATTTATTGAACTTTACGATGATATATATATCAAGAAAGTAGCAGAAAAAAATACATGGTTACCATTACAATGGTAACCTCACATTACACTTTGATTATTAGTTATTCATTTTTTTTTTATTCTCGATAATATAAATGTACATATATTATGTAACAGAAAAAAACTATATAAAATTTATTTCTTTAGAAATCCCACCATTATTAAAATATTATACAAATAAAATGATTTTGAAAAAATACATTGAAGTTAGAAAATTAAACGTTGTATCGTAAAATTTCTTATGATCTTTCACCTCTCAATCTTCTAGCCAACTTGATATCTTTCTTTTGGATAGTAACACGCTTGGCGTGGATAGCAGCCAAGTTAGTGTCTTCGAATAGAGAGACTAAGTAAGCTTCGACGGATTCTTGCAAAGCACCGATAGCAGAAGATTGGAATCTCAAGTCGGTCTTGAAATCTTGAGCAATTTCTCTGACCAATCTTTGGAAAGGTAATTTTCTGATCAACAATTCAGTAGATTTTTGGAATCTTCTAATTTCTCTTAAAGCAACGGTACCTGGCTTATATCTGTGAGGCTTCTTGACACCACCGGTAGATGGAGCAGATTTTCTGGCAGCCTTGGAGGCCAATTGCTTTCTTGGTGCCTTACCACCAGTAGACTTTCTTGCTGTTTGCTTAGTTCTAGCCATTGTTATGTATGTGTGTTGACTATTTTTTTTGGTATTATTATTATATAGAATACAAAAAACAAAAATATAAAGAGATGAAAGATTGTAAAACGAAATATATATCAAGAGAGGGAAGATAAATGGGTCTTTATATATATTCTAAATCCATTCTAATTTGTATAAATCCATTATACTAAAACAACGAAACGTTATTTATTTTGGTTAGTGCACTGCTTAGATCAAAAAGATGAAAGTTGTCAATCATACGCACTATTATGTCAGAATAGATTAGATTACAATAGATTAGAATATATTAGGTTAGAGACTGAATGAGGTTAAGGTAAGGTAAGTTGAGTTGACAGTGACAGTTGACAGCAATGGATCATTCTGAATGTTTCGCACTTGGACTGCGAAAAAGTTTATTTTTTAATTTTTCGCAGCTCGCAGTTCGCGTTGTCGTCGACCCGACGCGTGTTTTATCATTTTTTTCAAATACGCTTTGGCTTGTGCCGGTGGTTTCACACTTGAGGGCACACAGGTGTGAAAATTTGGGAACACGCGTGTGGTTTTCCAAGTGGGATATTGGGAAATGGGAAATGGGATCTCATTTACCCATAGTTAACGGTCATTTTTACAAGATGGCAACTATATTTGAAATGTTCTCACTTTTAGATTGCTATTGTTGTGGTCTGGTAATTTCGCGTTTATTATGTAGTTGGCCGTTCTGATGTTTACGCCCTTGGGGGACCTCCCCTTCTTCCTACAACACAGCTTTGTTTGGTATTGATTTGCTCCAGTTAACTCTGTCTCAACGACAAGAGAGATAGTGCTAAACACGTCCACATACGCTGTAGTTGAAAATGTTATTGGAATCAATCTTTGGTTATGTTTATGTATGTATGTATGTATGTTTATTATGGTGAAATTATCAGAATGCTTTGGTTTCGTTTGTATATCTCTCTCTGCCTCCCTTATATGTATGTTCTCTCTGCTCTGGTTGTAGAAATTGGGATGGTAACCACATCGTTGGTGAGCCTTGGATAATCTTGGTCTTGTTTTGGTTTTCGTTTTGGTTTTGATCTTTCAAAATATATAAATAGAGATATCTTTCTGTTGTTATTGATAATCGCTGGCTTGCTGTTTTTGTCGTAATTCTATTCTATTTTATCCTTATTTTTTGTTGTTACATATTAAAAAGAACCAGGTTTGAAGAAACTTATATAACATAACACATCAACAACACAACAAATATGTCTGGTAGAGGTAAAGGTGGTAAAGGTTTGGGTAAAGGTGGTGCTAAGCGTCACAGAAAGATTCTAAGAGATAACATTCAAGGTATCACCAAGCCAGCTATTAGAAGATTGGCAAGAAGAGGTGGTGTCAAGCGTATCTCTGGTTTGATCTACGAAGAAGTCAGAGCTGTTTTGAAATCCTTCTTGGAATCCGTCATCAGAGATGCTGTCACTTACACTGAACACGCTAAGAGAAAGACCGTCACTTCTTTGGATGTCGTCTACGCTTTGAAGAGACAAGGTAGAACCTTATATGGTTTCGGTGGTTGATCTGTATTCCCATTTGTATTCATTACTACTCACTCATGCACGTTATCTAGTTTGTTTTTTTTTCTCATTCACAAAGTAAATAAAGGTTATTATTTTTTACATTTTCTTCTATAGGATTTGGGTTATATATTAAAAAAAGAAATTATGTTTTATTCAAATAAAATAAATAAAGATTATATTTTATAAAGTTTTATCTTTTTCATATTTTAATGTATTATGTCTTTAATTTCAGATACTTCAATTGGGACTGTTCATCATCATCTCTTGTCTATACTTGTCCATTAGTTCGTCACCATTGATCCTTTCTTGATTTCCTAGTTCAAACACGGATTCAAACCACTTGTACATACAATAGTACGAATAATCTTCAATATCTGCAGTGTTCGGACATCGACATCGACATCCATTACCATTCTCGATTCCTTTATCGTACCAATCTTTCATAAAATTACGTTCGAATCGATTTTTTTTAGAACTCTTATATTTTAGCTGTCCATCTTTGTAATTTCTTGGACAATGTTGTATTGCAGCGTGACGGTATCCAATGTCTCTGAAATAATGAATATCTTTGATATCTAAAGTCAATGCTAACCCTAACGAATGAACAGGTGCATCCCCCCATCTTTCTTGCCAAAATCCATTATGGCTTTCTAAATATTCAAAATACCTATCGTATACTTCATTGTCAAATACTTCAAGATTGGCAATTTCAAAATTACTCCAAAAATGACATAAATTATATTCTTCATTGCCATACTTGTCTTCAAAATTAGGAATCTTTGACATTGCACGATCCAATAAATTAACTATACCATCTTCGTCATTCCAATCCTCATTATCAAACATTTTCTCAATGGCGAGTTCTTCTTTTAATTTCAATTCGATGTCCTCTCCTGAATTTACAAAATCTGACACCTCTTTATTAGAACTTGATATAATGTTGTAATCGAATGTAAACAATTTCCATAAACTGCCAACTTGAATATTGGACTCTCTAACGAAAGATTTGGTATATCTGAATAGGCTTGGTATTGTATAAAATAAGTCAGGTATCAAAATAGTGAACCCATATTTTTTATTCTTTTGTGACATCTCATAGAATGGATCATAAGTAAGATCGCAATAAAAGGTTACATCAGGTTCTAAACGCCAATACCACTCATATTGTCTTACTAATTCATTCTTATAGAAAAACCCTGAATAAAACCGACACATCTTATGATATGATTCAGAGTCACCATATAATATTCCGCGATCACTTTGGCTAAGGATTGCTTGTTTGAAAAATTCAGTAAATCTGATGTGGTTGGGAAACTCCCATTCAGATTCACCAAGTAATCCAAACTGTACGAAGTCAGACACTGCATCTTGTACCCTCTGTTTAAAATCTTCAATGGAAGGTTTGTCCTTTAAATAAAACATATGGAATAACTGACCATTGATTGAAATGTTCCTCGATATTACTAATAGTTTTAATAACATCTTCCAACTCCTCATTCCTAGCTAGCATCACAAATGTAGCATTCATTTTCTGATAATTTGGATTGTTTATATAAGATTGTGTATCTACACAACCTCGGAAGAAGACTGAGTCGTTTTCTGTATCTAAGGTATCTTCTGAATAGGATATGAACGAACTGTCCTCTGTATTTAAAATTACAAGCAAACTAATCCCAAGGGTAATAAAAAATAGTGATAATTTACCTAAGTGTTCCTGATTGAATTCCCTTGAGCATCTCATAAATTTAACAAATATTGATCTCATCATGTTTGATAACATTAAATGGGATATTTAGCGAAGTTACTGGGTAATAAAAAAGGATTGAATCAAAGCTAATAGTCCCGTAATAATGTTATACTTTTCAATTCATCTAACTGCCAAAATGCTTAAAAGGCCAAGTTAAATTCTGTTATTTTATCGAATCGGATCTTAATCAATTCTTGAATAGAACCTTGAAGGCTATTGAATAATAAATAGCCAAATGTTTCAATTATAGCACGTACCAAATAAACTAGAAACTAATTGGACTTTACAGATTTCTAATACCTGCCTACTCGAAACGTAAAATGGAAGCAAATATAGCTGTTGTATCCTTATATTCTTGCTTTGGTAAACTTCAAAATATCACATCTTATTCTCTTCTCATCGACCTTTTTTTCATTTTGATTGATTTATGCCTATAAAAAATATCGAATCGAATCGAATCGAATCGATGCCTTCTAAAAAGTACCAGTTAAGACTGATCAAAGATATAGATGTATAAGCATCAAGCAACCTGAAATTGATTGGATTAGAAGGTAATTGTTGATTTATAATGCCTGTTGAAATTTTGTTGAATGACTCTAGGGATATTAAAAGAGTGAAAACCGGATTGGAAGCTATCGATGCGTTTGTCAAGCCAATAACTAAAGAAGATGGTTTCACAATTGTCAAAACATCATTGAACGATATTGGACACCCTTTTTTAAAGCAATATCAAGATAGACTAAGAATGTATGATTCTGTCGAAGGTGTTATGGCAGGATGTAATGAAAGTGGCTTGGCAAAATTCGTAAGAGCATCGTTACAGGAATATGAATTGTTGAATATTGAAGAATTGATGGGGACAATGCCAGAAAAGTACACCATCTATGAACCTCTGTTGCTATTTAACAATTCAACACATCGTTCATTTGTAAGTGGTCCATGGAAGGAATTCTTTTCTGGAATAGATAAGAAGGATAAAGACAAGTTTTTTAAAGAAATGCTTTTAAAAGTATTTCCTAGTCACAATCTAAGCCATGTGGCCATTAACATGCCAATTATAGAAAGTGATATATTAAGAAGACCTTTTAATATTTTGCCATTATATAATGAACTTATTGATTCATCTATTGATATTGAAAATTCTTCTTTATGGGATTCACCCACACAAGAGGAATTGGATAAAACTCTATGGTGTCATGTAATTCAAAATGGTGTTCACCAATATTGGGCACCTATGTTTACTATGTTTAGTCGTGGTAATATCAAGGAAAAGAAGAGGATTTTAGATACATTTCAAGATATTGAAGGTAACGATATAGTTGATCTTTATGCAGGTATTGGATACTTTACATTGAGTTATCTTAAAAGAGGAGCACGCAATATATTTTGTTTTGAATTGAATCCATGGAGTGTAGAAGGATTGAATAAAGGTTTACAAAAAAACAAATTCACTGGTAAAGCCCACGTCTATTGTGAAAGTAATGAAATGAGCTATACCAGGTTAAAAGAAACCGGTATGAAAGATTTAAGAATCCGCCATATTAATCTAGGATTATTACCGACAAGTAAACCAAGTTGGCCATTAGCATTACAACTAATCGCAATGGATGAAAACAATAAAATGCTAACACCAGTTTGTACATTACACATTCATGAAAATATCCATATCAATTCAATTGAAGATGGTTCATTTATCAAAGAGGCTTTACAAGAGCTTAAGACAATTAAACCTGAATATAATTACAAAAGCAAGCATCTTGAAAAAATCAAGACCTTTGCACCAGACGTTTGGCATGTATGTTTAGACGTTGATGTAATCACACAATGATAATCATCGATAAATAAATTTAAATTGGCCTCAAAATATCGGCTTGGTTCAATTGATTCAATTGATTCAAATACCAAGTCTTCAAAATATTAGCCATCGAACTAATAGCAGATTATAATACCTGTAAAGACAATGATAATAATAACAATAATAGCGTACCTCAACCCAACTCCTACGAAATAAAACTAACAACTCTAATTGTCTAAATTTCAAATATTCAAGTAGGCTAAGCTTACCAAGCGGTCGGTCGTTGTTACGTTTGATATTTTTTTTTTTTCTTTTGCTTTTGCAATATGCTAGCTAACAGTAACGTAGTTATCGAAAGAGGCTTTCTTTCTAACGTTAAGTTTCAAGAAGGACTGGACTCTTAGCCAACACTACTGAATATTTATCGATGGTGATAGTCGGCGAAACAAAGAGCTTTCTTGGTGTCCAAGAATTATAATGTGTGTTTTTTTTTTAACTCCCCAAGGACCTGAGAGGTCGCTGCAATGAAAAGTAGTAATTCGAACGGATTACAAGCAGTTGTTAAGATTTCAATAACCAAGCTTGATGAATACTGATTAACAAATCACTCCAAGAAACAAGTTCTTGTATAACTCAATACAATCCCAATTGAATTAATAAATTACCCAAGAGATTAATAACTGAAAATGCTAGCTCAGATGTGTAGACTGTTTAACAGCAAATGGTTGCTTACTGAAATCTTTCAGAGTACAGAAATACACATATCTTCCTAACAGTCATGATATGGAATAACCTAAAGACCTCGAAGACTCAGCATAACTTGATGATAACACATACAAACTTGATCACATTAGCGTACGCATTTATATATATATATATATATATATATTTAACCACTTCCATTATTGCATTGCGCCTTCCTGTGATACAATATTCTAAAGTAATTTTTAAAATAATACAATTTATATATAGAAAGAAATCTTAAACTTAAATTAACATTGATCAGTTCCGATCAACATATTCTTGGACCAACATTAACAATATTAGAGCTCAATTAAGTTGACACCTTCCCTATATTATCGACTGCTGTTTCATCAAATTTGATATCATCGGTGATACTTTCTTTTTGCCTATCTTTTTCCAGAGAGCCTTGAGGAGCATCCAGGTTTCTACATACTCAAGAAATTACGATATAGTTTAATTTTATAAAAATACCATTAGCAGCAGCTTTACAATTGAAAGCAACAAGTTTAGTTCAAAGACAGAGGTATATACAGATATCAAGGATAGTATTCTTTGGTTATATTTGTACTGGTTATTGAGTTCCAAGGTTTGGTGTGTGTGTGAGTGTGCTTTTATTGTCATTGCTATCTTTTATAAGGTCCATCTGTTAAAATTGGATTATAAGTAGTAGTAGTAATAGTCAGGTTTTAGGCTTTAGGATAATATCTTTATTATTGATTTATTGGAAATATGAATAATGACGATATGTTTGATAACGTTAATCTGTCTCCAACAGAGTTTTTGGATATGGGTGGGAGTACAGGCAATGACGATATAATACAAGATTATCTAAGCCGTTTATCGTTTCCTCCCAAGCAAACCAATACGCAGCAGCAGCAACAGCAGCAACATCAGCAACAGCAGCAACAGCAACAGCAACAGCAACATCAATCACCTCAAAGTGAGTTAAATATGGATTCGCAATTTTCTCAAAGTTTAAGCAGTAATGCATTTGTTCATGATAATACCGGTAATAATGATAGAGTCCATGGTGTAGAAGTAGTTATTGATAACAACGATAACAATCGCAACAATAACATTTTCGATGATAGCATTAATAGTAGGAACAGGACAAGCCAACCTATTGGTACTAATATCATTTCCCAATCGCAAAATGATAATATATTGGATCCATTCATGGAAAATCTAAACGTGAATGTAAACGTTACCGAACAGAACCAAACTGGTTTGCAACATTTAGAATTAGGAAACATAAACGATTCGTGGAATGATCATGGAAACTTCTTATCCCCCGTGGCTGCCTCAAATAATAATGATGATTCAGAATCTGTTTATTCATCAGCCTCTTCATTTAATCTAGCGGTAAATTATGGTAATAACGATTTGGCTTTATCTCCTGCAGTATCATATTTAACTGCTGGTGAAGATGATTTAGACGACGCTGCTTCTCTGATGTCTGGAAATTCTAATTATTTATTGCCTGTTAACTCACATGGTTATAAACATGTAACTACTCTAGATGAATTGGACCAATTACTAGATTCTGTACTTCCAGATGTTCATGCTACGGATTTTGATTTCCAAAATGTTAATAATATTGATGACAATATCAGAAATTTGAGTGCGGACCTCGAAGCATTAAATCAAGATCGAAGTTTGTCTAATACTCCGGTTACTACACCAACTATCTCGGTACAAAATTTTGATACCGACTCTTCGCAAATAACTCCAAGCAATCAATTTGTACCAATCCCAACTATTAATATTCAAGTAAATGATATTTCTTCGATTGATTCCACCATGCAAACTAATAGGCAGGATAGGAATAATTTGGAAACCGGTGGTCTGTTAACGCCAAATACGCAAACTAATGATAATCAACACGAAGAAATGAGACAAGGTAGAATTTCCAGAAGGCGAAGATCAACAACTTCAAGAACACCATCGAGGTCTAGAACGAGAAGTATGTCACCAGAGTCTAAAGCTAGATCATTGAGTGAAAATAGAGATAAGTTATTGGAAATGGCAGATATGGGTATTAAAATAGAGCAAACTGAAAATAATGAAGCCCTTCAGCTCCAAACACCATCAACAGAAAGTAAAACAGATGAAATCACAGTGCCGTTGCCGTTAATTGACGGAGAAACTTCACAAAACCTTGCTGGTTCCACACGAAGAAAGTTTTCTCAAAAGAACCCATCAATATATGCATGTCCAGTATGTGATAAGAAATTTACAAGGCCTTATAACTTGAAATCTCACAAAAGAACACATACGAATGAACGTCCATTCTCCTGTAGTCAATGTGGGAAAACATTTGCTCGTGAACATGATCGGAAAAGACATGAAGACCTTCATACTGGTAAGAAAAGGTATGTATGTGGTGGTAAACTGAAAAGTGGTGAATCCTGGGGCTGTGGTAAAAGGTTTGCCAGAAGTGATGCACTAGGAAGACATTTCAAAACAGAAAGTGGTAGAAAGTGCATAACACCATTATATGAGGAAGCCTCAAGAGAACGAGGTGCTGTTCAAGATACAACCGATCTATTGTTAAATGGAGACCCTATAATGTAACATTTAAATAAAACAACAATTCAAAAGAAATTAAAATTAAAAATATAGGGAATCTCAACATTCTTAAAAATTATTATTTCCATTCACTAATAAATAGACACATTCATGTATTTGTGTGTGTATTTTTGTTTTCTCACTTTTATTTTTTCGAACGTTGTTCTAATTCTTAATTCTTTGGTATTAATGATGATTCAACCATTGAATGTAATTTAATTTAAAAAAATACATTCATTATTTTATTTGTTTATATGTTCTCATCCCAACTTTTTGCGAATAGTAATAGTATAATAATTTATATTTTAATATCTTAATAAATATTGCTATGTAACTTCAGTAATTTATCTAATATGACATTGGCATCTCATCATGATAATAAATTAACTACGGTGAGAGAAGTCCTTTAGTCTGATATCAATTTAATCAGGCGGTTGAAAAAAAATTAAAGAGGAAGTTGATGTAAAATAATACTTAAAATAAAGGTTCGATTTAAAGTTAAGTTAGAGTAATTGGTATAAGATTTGATTGTGTCTATACAGAATTGAAGAACCGTATTCAATTGAGTGTACTTGTTTATTGTGGATTTTAATTTTTTAAATATGAGTACTTCAACGGTTAATAATCAAAGTTCTTTAAATGAAGAGCTACATAGAGAACAGCACAAAAAATATATTACAGATATATTTAATCAGAATGCATTTACGCCAATTAAATTAAGCTCAGTTCTAGTAGATGGTGGTGAACAAGTTAGGGATGATTTATTACAGAAATATGTAGATTCTACCTTATCAAGAGCCACTAATTTTAAGCAATTATGTAATGAATCTGATAACTTAGCTAAAAAACTGGTGCAACATGGAATTGTGGAAGATATATCTCAAAATTTTACAACAAGAGGATCTGTCAAATACCCTCTTTTGAAGACACGTTATCCAGCTCAAATATATAGAAATTCCGATGTGCCAGATGCTGTTTCTGTCGTTGATATTATATCACATATAAAATTAATTCCATTAAAGAAGTTCATGGCAAAAACAGGTACCAATATTGGTAATGGTGAAGGGGATGGTTACTTACAATTTCAATTTAGAAATATTTTTGGAGGTGGTGAACAATTGAAATTAGATATTACGAAGGGTACAGCAACTCATTCTTCATACCTCCTGTCTTATACTCAACCTGTCACTCCAAATTGGGTATCCGATTCAATTGCATACAAAAATAGTAGACAATTAGGCACATCCATAGATATGATAGTAACTGGATTGCGTAGTAGTGTTCGAGGTAACTTTGATGATTTTGAAAAGTTAAAACAAGAATTTTATCTAGAAGGGATATTGAGAAAGACAAAACTTACTGCTTCTAATTGTTCAGATTCATTGCTTTTCCAGGCAGGTTCAGATGCTAAGTTAACAATCGGTCATTCTATTTCATGGGATACAAGAGATGTGCCTGTCACTCCAAACAAAGGGAACCTTTTGAAAATAAGTAACGAATTGGCATTAAATCAATACTTCAAATCTCAAATGGAATTTTCTTCATCAAAAAGTTGGTACCAAGATAATTTTTTTACTCTTATGGGTACATATAAATTTGGCTGGATTACAAAAATAGATGACAATGACAAACCACTGCATATTTCTGATAAATTTCATCTTGGTGGTAGTAATGACGTTCGTGGTTTCCAATTGATGGGATTAGGTCCGAAACAAATAAATGATGCAATTGGTGGTGATATGTTCTCTGCATATGGTATTAGTCTGTTCAGTAAATTGCCATTTAAAAAATTCTCTGATTCCAATTTCAGACTTCATGCCTTCTTTAATGGTGGGAAGTTGGTTAACCAAAACACTAATACATTTGATAGAAACTTACAGTCCTTGTTTAAAGAAAATTCATTAGCTATAGGTACAGGTATCATATTCAAACACCCCGTTGCAAGATTTGAATTGAATTTTACATTACCACTTACTTCATATTCTACAGACCATGTTAGAAAAGGTTTTCAATATGGTATCGGTATGTCATTTTTGTAGATATAGGCATTGTTGTGATAAATAAGAGATGCTACATTTTACATACAGTAATCATTATATATATATCATTATATATATATATATTGCAATAGAAGTAGACATAATTATTTTACTTCTTGATTTGAGATCCATCCGTCATGAGCTTTGATCACTTCAGGAATTATCACTTCTTCAAGACTAGAAACTTCATCTGTCTTTTTTATCCATCTTCCTTCTCTATTATCTGATGTAACGAATACAACTTCTTTGTTTCTCGATTGTAATAAGTTACCAATAACTAATTGGTGGTTGTATCTATCCAATGCTTGAGTAGACTTGTAAATTAAGATTGATTCATCGGTTTCTAGTTTAAAGGATACGATCATTGCTTGCTTTGCCCAAGATTCTACTAATCTCCTCAAAAATTTTGGAACTGGGTCTAAATTAATAATCAATTTGCCCTCTGGAGTAGTTGCAGAGTTCGAATTTTCTGAATCATCATTACTTAGTTCTCCATAGGCTCTAGATTGTATCTTGTGTTTTGGTAATCTTGAGAATGGAACAAAGAAATCACTAACAGCAGCCGCTAAATAGAACAGACAGCCGCTTGAGTCTAATAGTTTAGCAATGCTTTTCAATGACCACAAATATTGGTTAACGGTGGTGAATGGCAATAGTAATAGCCTTGATTCACGATTTAAATATTTATCATATAATTCTCTATTACGTAAAATCGTCTCTTTAAAATTTTCACTTAGAGAGCCATCATTATGGAAGTAATCTAAGAACAAAGTATTCAAATTATGAGTGAAAATTCTGTTGTATGGAGTTAAAGAGAATTCTCTATGTAGAAATATGACAGAATAACCATTTGCTAGGAATTGTTCAGCACTGGATGCACCTCTAGTACCAGCAGAAAAATTATCAATAAATCTCACTGTATTATTCTCTAATGGAACAGTGGTACCACCAGAAGTGACTAAAACAATTTTATCACGACCTTGTTGACGTTGGTATTCTAAAAACTCCTTAGCATCTTTAACAAGATCGTTCATATAAGGAGGCCTTGGATTGGTCTGGAAGTAAATATCTTCATCATTGATCGTCTTTGCAACTGGGAAGATTTCATCTGCAATCTTATGGTTGATAGCTGTGGATAACTCGGTAGTCGAGGTATGAATAATTGGTCTTGGAGGTGTCATAGTTCCTATATATATTCGTCCTTTATTCAATTGTGTGTTACTTATACTTTATGTTGGGCCCTTTCCTAAAATCTTCAAGTCAATTTGCATGAACAATGCGATGGATGCTCTTCGTTTAAATATTATAATCAACGATAAAATATATGAAATATAAAAAATTAACCAACAGTTAATTGCCTATAGACAAAGCAACCTTGGTCGATATAATGATATTACGGGTTGGTATTCCTTTCGGATGCCCTGATTAGTAACTTGATTATTCAATTGGCACTAATTTTCTAATATTTTTAGAATAATGAAAGTTCGAAACGGTTTATAATTACGCTTAAACTCTGTGATATTCTATCAAGTAAAAGGGTTTGTAACTTATTTGCTTCGCCTTCCATCTTGTACAATTACCAACTATATCCTAATCATTTAACTTTATGTATAAGTTATTCCTTGTTTCCAATTGGACTTTGCTGATGGAATTCAATATGAAGAATACTATTAACTAGTCAGTTCGATTAATGATCAGTTGTTTTAATGAATTTTCCATTCGAACGAGTCGCTAACGATGATGGTGGTTAAAGTTTCAATTTTAAGAATGAATTTATAATACACTAGTAGGGTTGACATTCAATGCACCTAGTCTATAGAATATATTTATGGCTAGTTGTGGTTATACTAACTATGGTAACAGAACTATATCATAAAATGATGACTCTCTCCTTTGAGGTGGAATGAAAACGTCCTGAATAACAAGCAACTGGTAATGGCTTGTACATAACTTAAGATATACCTAATAGTAGTCATGGACTTTTAATTAGCTCTTAATCTCAAAACCATGAGGGCTGAAAAGTTCCAATGTTTTGTGAAGCTCCTTGTATGAATTTTCTATTGATTTTAGGGACCGTTATTAAACTTTAGAAACTTCTTTTTTGCAGAAAAAATATCTGATCCTAAAATATTGGTATTTCCATGCTGAAGTAGAAATTGATACTTTAGTAATGGTATGATAGGTTAAAGAATAATATATATTCATGTTGTTACCTATGATTAGACTCTATTTATTGTTATCTTAAGCTTCCTACAATTAAAAATGGTCCCTTGGCCCAGTTGGTTAAGGCGTGGTGCTAATAACGCCAAGATCAGCGGTTCGATCCCGCTAGGGACCATTTCTTTTTTTACTTTAGAAATATTTTTTATCTCCTTTCTCTTTTTCCCACGAAGTCTTCTTACAATAGATATATTTTATCCCTTTTGACAGTGCCTTAACAGTAACCAAGAATTCACAATGCTACTCATCACTGGATGACAAGCAATTCATGTTAATATTGCTCTTCCGAACCCTACATCACTTTAATATGGCTAACCTTGGACATCTTCTTAAGGCTTTAAACTCACTTCTCTTAACGGTAACGAAAATATGAGGTTTTAATATGTCGTAATTAACGATTTTGTATACAAGGTTCTTCTTTCTTTTATATCTTCGTTAAAATTTAAAAGATCGAAACAGACTGCAAATTAGTTGAACTTTTATATGGAATAGTCTCAATTAAAAGCTGGGACATTGGTTACCAAAGAGTGTCTATTGGATCAGATAGGGCTACGGTTATAATAGGTTTGATATATCTCGTTGAATTGCCTGAAAAATTTTAGGATTCAATCAACGTGTGTTACGCTTGACTATTAAAAGAAATATAAATTACTTCTAGTTTCGATTTCGAAAAGTTTTCACTGGAGTCTGTCACAACTATTGCGAAATTAAGCTGTTACCTATATTCTTTGTGATTTTGGTATAATCTATTTGCTCGTTATTGCTTTGTCGATTTGGGAATACCATAGGAAAATATAAGTCAAAGAAACCCGGATATAAAGCAAAATATATATACCTACAGTTAATATTCTGTGATTATATTTGATAGCAACAACCTCTATACATTAGATATTTTGGTGTCTTTTTTATATTATTGAAATCTTAAAACTGTTATATTATTGAAATTTACCTGCATGGTATCAATTATATGCAATTATATCAACACATTCGCCCAAGATATTCATAACTTATTCTCATTATCTAATTCGTCCGATAAGGAAAATATAAACTATTCATTGATCTTATTGATTTTAACTACTATTTATTTCATCTACACTAAGAAACATTTATTTATGGAAAGATTATCAGCATTTGGAAACAATTCAACTTTTCGTCGTTTCTTACCAGGAAACAATTCCCAATTAGAAGAAAAGATTTTGAACAGAGGTGGGTTCGTCGCAGGTCTAGTCAATGATGGTAATACTTGTTTTATGAACTCTGTGTTACAATCTTTAGCATCGTCCAAAACATTGTTAGAATTTTTAGATAGTGAAATTATCCTAAAGGCTGAAGAATTAGAAGAAAAAGAAAACAACGTAGAAGTGGATAATGAAGAAGAGAAAGAAGAAGACGATGAGGATAAAGATGAAGAAAGCACTAGTGAAGAAGTAGAAAAGGGCACCAAAACTGCTAGATCTAAAACTTACGGTAAACGTAAAAAGAAGTTGGCAAGAAAAATGGATGAAATAGCCTTGAAAAAGGATGAAAATGAGCAGGAAAGAAATGTTACATTCAGTTTGACTTTCAAAGAATTATTGGATAAATTGAACTTTAAATATTATAGAGAAAGACATTATTTTAAAACTAACAAACTTTTGAGAACAATGTCCAAGGCCCCAAATAAGAATATCATTTTAGGATATGATCAAGAAGATGCACAAGAATTCTTTCAAAGTATCTTACTTGAATTAGAAAAGAATGTTAAAAGTTTGGGTGATGAAACAAATAAACAAGAACCAGTCCCTGAAAGTGAACTACCTGAAAATGCATTGATTGGACAAAACAAATTGGGTGAAGTTGGTACAGTTTATATTCCAACTGATCAAATTGATCCAAACTCTATTTTAAATTCAGATAACTCCACAAAATTTTATACTCCTTTTAAAATGGTCACTCCGTTGGATGGTATTACTGCGGAAAGAATTGGCTGTTTACAATGTGGTGAAAACGGTGGTATTAGATATTCCATCTCTTCAGGTATAAGTTTAAATTTACCTGCTGAAAACATTGGATCTAATCTAAAATTATCACAGTTATTGAAAGAATGGATTAAACCTGAAATTATTGAAGGTGTTGAATGTAATAGATGTGCGTTGAATGCTGTCCGTGAACATCTAACTGATCAATTGAAACAATTTGAAGCAAAAGAAAGCGGAGCTATTCCAGATAAATTGATTAAAGCAATTTCTGAAAGAATTGAAAAATTAGAACAAACTTTATCCAAACCTGTAATTGATGATGATGATTACAAAGAAATGCATACCGAGAATATGGTCCGTAGATGTTCAAAATCAAAACAAATTTTGATATCCAGACCACCTCCATTATTATCTATTCATATTAATAGATCAGTTTTTGATCCAAGAACATATATGATCAGGAAAAACAATTCCCGTGTTTTATTCAAATCTAGATTGAATTTGGCGCCATGGTGTTGTAATATTGATGAGATCAACCTTGATGCTCGTTTACCAATGTCAAAAAAACAGGAATTTGCTAGTGAATCTTCAGAAGATGAAAATGTTGGCGGAGAATATTACGCTAAATTACACCAGAGATTTGAACAAGAATTTGAAGATAGTGATGAAGAAGACGAATATGGTGAAGAAGAATATGCCGATAGAGATGTAAAGGATTATGATCCATTAAACGGTGAATTTAGTGAAGATAATGATGATGGAGATGAAGAAGAATATATCGAAGAACAAGATGCACTAGGCAATACCATCAGGAGAAGAAGAGTTGAAAGAGATACGTTGAATGAAGATGAGCCATTGGACGACGAGGATGATGATGATGAAAATGATGTTGATTATGAAGAAGAAAAAGCTGTTTCTGAAGAAGTTAGTGAATTACAACACGGTGACGAAAAAAGTGATGTTGATTCGGAAGAAGAATTGGATAATTCAATTTCTGTACCTCCAACTATTACTGCACCAAGCGCGTCCACGGTTCCGGTCGGTCCATTAACATATTCCTTAAGATCTGTAATTGTTCATTATGGTACTCATAATTATGGTCATTATATCGCATTTAGAAAATACAGGGGGTGCTGGTGGAGAATTTCTGATGAATCAGTTACAATTGTCGATGAAGCAGAGGTTCTCTCTACCCCTGGTGTATTCATGTTATTCTATGAATATGATTTTGATGAAGAAACTGGTATGATGGGTGATGATAAATATGAGATGACAGAAGATGTTCAAGTTGTGGAAAAAGAGGAGGAATTATCCTCTACAAGCAACGAAGAATCGGGTGCTCATGAGGAAAACAATCAATAGACTACTATATTTTCACAATTGTATACATATAATATTTAATTCATTAATAGGTGTTAAAAAGTTCTAATCATTTTTTTTCCATTTAACAAAGGATATAAGAGATGACTATATTTACTAGATTTGCTGTCTTATGTTCTCATATTATTTATTTCATTCTATAAAAGATAATATCATGTAATTAATTGTCTATATTGTTATTATATGTAGGTTGATATTAATCAAAGTAAAACTAATCAAGTAAAATGATTCCTCTAATTTGTTAGGTTTTACCTTGTTTATCAGTCGGCGTCATGAATTTAAACTAATTCATCTATTTCTTCATTGCTTTTACTATTGAATTGTTCCAAACGTTTTTGTTCTTGTTCTAGTTCTTCTTTTAAATCTTCATTGATCAATTCGTCAACATCAAAATCAAAACTGTTTGGATCGGAATCGTATTTTGCAATGACACGTCTTTTCAATCCGGTTTTTTGATCAGTTTCTAATTTACCTGCTCTATTTGAAGAAAAAGCAGTTGCCTTTGTTTGATCCTTCAAGTTAAATTTTAAATTTCTACTTTTATTATCTTTGTTAGTTATTTTTTTATTGTCATTTTTAGTAACTTTAAAAGTTCCAATATTTGAAAGCAAAGGCATAGCCAATGAAAACACTAGAACTATTAATAATAGTATAACAAAACTTGAAAAATTCATCTCGTATAGACTATATGATCTTGTCTCGCACAGTTCTATTGCAATCAATTATAAATTAACGATTACCAAAAGAAATACAAAATAGATAAAAAGAAAGCCTAATTACTAATACTGTATCTCAATCCCAAAATCGAATGTGGTCAACCTTCAATGCATCTTTCTGCAGCTAGCATCCTTAATATCTAATCTCATCTCATCTCATCTCAACTT